AGAGAGAGAGAGAGAGAGAGAGAGAGAGAGAGGGTTACAAAGGGTATGAAAGAGGCAAAACTGGATCAAAGGCATCCCGTCCACGGCGTGTTTCGCCTGGCAGTGTCGGGTTCAGCTTGGGCACTGAGTTCAGAGTGTGTCAGAATGAGGAGGTGAATGGCAGGTAGTTCCCTGAAAGAAGTAGGCACAACGCCCTATTGTGCAAGATGAAACCCACAGGGAGGCCCCGCTGCCAGAGTTGTGCTCAGCTTTCCAGGAACAAGACAAACCAGAAGACACACAATCATTTACGTCTACAAATGCAAACATTCAAAAAGGCACAGCGACACAACTTGTGTTTTCCTGATTCTACTGATTTGGTCACTCTGTTGACGTCAAATTGAATTAACTTTTCAAAATATCTTTTTAATTCAACATATATAGATCGCTATCTTAAATTATGGAAAAGAGTGTGGATGTGGACGTTACCTAATATATCAGATTTCATGTATATCTTAGTCAACAGGTCCCACTGCCATGTGTAACTACATATTTTGTGAACATATTCCCTCATATTGCGGCAAAAACGTATATAAGTTGTTGAAAAAATATTAAAAAATCAACATACAGGGATATACTTAACACAAAGGGAACAACAGGTGGTATATAGTCTGAGTCATCTAATAAAGGTCCTTACACACCAAACTGACACCAAAGAGTAGCAGCAGTCTGTGAGGTGGGAAGCTGCACAGATACGTTCTGCTTATTTTAATTGCAGCTCCACTCAGGCACCGTTATGGTGATCTATTTTGATTGTAAGAGCTTTACGTATAACACATATCTCTGAGGTATAGGATTAACAGAGGGGTACAGTGAAAATAATCTAAATAATTGAAGGCTGGCTGCAGGTCATCAGGCTGCATGTTGAACATTAGGTTTTGCGTGGCTATATGTTAACAGGTGAAGGCTTGTTTAAGGAACACCTCTGCATCTGTGCTCAACACCACAGCATGTGTCCTAATGAATCATTCACCATGTGTTTGGAACTGACACTGGTCCATGTTCACCACAACAACACTCAGCACATACCCGATGTGTCCGAGCTGATGGAGATGTTGGAATTGAGGATCTCATTCTCTTGCTGTTTGTTGGTAAGGCAGATGATTACAAAGGGGGGTTTCAACAGACAAAAGGATACATTAGTAGAATGTATTATACATTTCAAGCCTGCAAAGTGGCCTTCACTAACCTGCTAGGTGTTTACCAGCGGCCAGGCTGACCTGACCAACATAGCTCATATTCCACCAGCTCTGGCACGGCACCTGTCAACAGGCTGGAAACCACCTACACTGTACACAGCGGCTGAAATCTCATACCAGAGATTGTGTTAAAGGCACACAGACATAAGGAATAGCACCAGCTATCCATGTCAGGGTCAACAGACACTTTGTGCGACTGAAGACAGGATCCTGCCGGGTTATCAGGCCAAAGCTCTGTGTGGTGCCTTCAGGTGAGAACAACTTTACGCAGTCAGATATAAATCACCTAATCATCACTTATTTAAATAACTCTTCAGTCAGTTCTCAATGCTCAGGTAACCAGACACCTCTAAAGCGCAGAGTTGGGTGTGGGGATCAGCACGTCCAAGCTCTGGTCTTTAAGCTCTTACCATGTTTGTGATATTGGGCTCAACACGTAGGCTGTGGGTCAACGATGTCAAGTCTGTATTCAAAAGATGGTATTCCTCCTGACCTGCAAACCTAATATCCATTTATCTTAACCCCACTTATTAAAGATAAGAAGATGTAAACACACAGAAACAAAAGGGTGATTAAACACATGGAGTTCTGAGGAAAAAGGCAATGTCTAAATACGTTCATATTGGCCAAAATCTACAGTTGTCTCTGTGTGCAAATGTATTCAAACGTTTTTCTGAGGCTAATAAGGGGGTTCAGCAAGTCAGACGAATAAAGCGGATATCTTCTTAAGGAATACATACAGTACGATGTGTCCCATGACAACCTATCCTTTACTAAATCATGGACTTCACTTCTTTTAAGTGTAAACTCTTGTGAAGCTGTGTGACCCATGCATCATTTCTGCTGTCTTCAAACAGGAGGGAAGCAGGCAGCTTGTTGCCACTGGTAACCACAGCTTTTATAAAGGAATTTCACCTTCATTCTGGGTAGTGTGGGAGTCTGTCCTACTCGAGAGAATAAACCCAGTGTGTTCATAGTTACAGCCAAACATTGTACAGTAACTATTTCTCGATGGCATTGGCAAAAAGGAAAAAGTGTGTTTCCTCTCTCAGAGACTTCCTCTTTAGCCACTGCTGACCTTTGGTTGCAATAACACAACCAACATCCCTGCCTGAAGGATGCTGACATTGGATTTTAAAAAATGCATGAGCATCCGACTCATTTTGAATTTCTTACTGAACATGTATCATTATCATTTGTTTGGGAGAAAAAAGGAAAACAAAATTCAAACTGCAAAACACAACCTTAGAGTAAAATCACAACTTCACGAGAAAAAAAAGATCATATCTAGCATCATGGTGTGGTTGTTTGTTATTTTATGGTGTCAACAAAGGTTTCAGATTTCAGACTTTAACATGATTTGATCTCATTCATGCTCCATTAGCAGCTTTTCATCCCAATTTCACGTATAATTGGGTCCTTGTTCTGTGGTCCATACCAGTAGTAATTCAAAGATATACATGTACAGCCATGTACGGTATCTCTTGCCATTCCAACACTACCAATATGGTCAACACATGACATTGATCTTGAATCTAATTCATGTCATATTTCCAATTGACTGTTAAGGTTAGGTTTCAGAGTGAGAAAAGCCATCTTCCCGTACACACAGCCAATCAATCAGCCCCTGTGACAGTCAGGTAAGCAAATAGCAAGCTGTGTTAATCTTGTGATCTAATCTAGTATTAGCTCATCCTCACCACATAAGATGCTGAAGTGTTACAAGAGGCTGAACACAAGTCAGAGGAAGAGGAAACTCCATCTTTAAAGGCCACTGAGTTCTATTTTGTCAGCATTGTGCCCACAAACACCCATCCATATACAAAAACACTCAATTCAAAGCTGAGCTCTAAACAGGGAAGGCACAACGTGAGTGCAGCAGGAGAGGAGGAGGAGGAGGAGGAGGAGGAGGAGGAGGAGGAGGAGGAGAGCGTCATCATGGTGGTCTGACTGTCGGAGTGAGACATGAATGGCTGCGTTTGCAGAGCCCTGAAGGGGCAGCCAAGCTCTCAGCCACTTAGCAGAGTATGCTGAACAGATAGGGATACATCATGTCCTACCGTACACTTCAAACCCTCTACGTTTGTGTAAACTGTACACGCAGTGCATCAAAACCAGCAGGTAATACAAATGGTTAGAGATGTAAACAGGAATCGCAGTTATCAGAATGAATGTGAAGAGTATGTGGAAGAAAACTAACCTTCAGTCCATGTTCACGATGCTGGAGAGGATTTCCTTCACTGTAGAGGAGAGGACAACCTGCTACATCAGGCCCATGGTTCTTCAACAACAAAAGAAAAGCAAAAGTGAGATGGAAACTAATCCTCTAAATGCTTTCTTGGCACATTGTACTCCCTGCGCCTGCCTGCTTTATGCCTGTGTGTGAGAGTGTGTCTGTCTGCCAGACACTGATAATAATAGGTTGCGGGAAAAATTATCCTCTGTGAAGAATACTAGGCTTCAGAAGTAATGAGGCTGAACATGTCCATCCTTACTGTGCCATCAATTGTCTTTAACCCATCATTTGATTAGCGAGCTGAGACCAAAATAAATATTGCTGAGGGTTTATGAAAACTTGTGTCGTATATGTTGAAAGTGGAAGGACCATGGCTAACATACAATTTTGCTCATTCTTTTTAAGTATTTTCAAGTAATGTGTAGCAGTTTGTGTTCTGTTGATTGATTCTGTTTTCATCTGATATGGTAATACAATTCTGTATTGTCTGTGCTGCAGAATAGAAACCAGCTATAAATCAGCTTTTAACTGAGTCAAGCTAGGTTAATTTTAATCTTTTCATCTGTATGTATTAATAACATAAATATAACAAATAGAGATACATGGTGACAGCATCATAGTAAATAGAAACAAAGTGTAATTGATTAACTGGAAATATACTCCATAGCTACTGATCCTCTGATTTTGCAACAGTGTCCATTAGAAACTAGCAAACTCTTAAAACACATGATGAATTATGTTGTTGCTGTAAATGATTACCTTATAAGCAATGACACAAGCCAGTTGTACATTCCGTTTTCATCTGATATGGTAATGCAATCTCTTAATTGCTGCAGAATAGGAACCTGCTAAAAACCAGTTTTAACTGAGTCAGGCTAGATTAAATGTTACACATATAATGTTACTTTTATGTTTTTGCAGTTTAATTATTGCTCTATAAGCAATGACACAAACCTGTTTTACATTCTACATTTTAAAACATTTTTTATTTAAGTACTGCAGCAAAACGCCAGCATTTGAATGCTATGATGACAACATAGGAGATGAAATACAGCGTTAAAAGATGGTTACGAAAGATAAGTTGAGTAACAGTTACAGTAACAGTAACGTGCTCTATGTAATTTAAGTTTTAATTGACGAGCCTTCGTGTATGTTGTGAAATAACGTAAAGCATTGTGTATTGCTCTAAAATAAATACAAGTAGAGTTTTGAGCAGCAGCAGTGTGTTAACGGACTTGACAGTTGAGTGTGTCATTCTACAGAGCTGCTCGTACGATGAAACATCTACATCGACACTCATAACAGCTTTTCATCGCACAGCGCACATCACCCACAAGCACAAACTGATGGTTAAACTAGCAGGAAAAAACTAACTTGAAAATATTTCACACTTACTCGGGTGATAGCAAACTGTTGGAGCCGACACACAGACGTTAGCGAGCGGCTCCCCTCCTCCGAGTCCCGTCCGTCCGCTCCACCGTGGTCCAAACTCTGACGTCATGACGCAAGACGTAACCTAATAGAAAGGGATCAAAGATTGTGTTGTGATAAGAGGCCTCACTCGCGTATTTAAAAAAACGATAGCTGCATATTTACAGACATTAAAGAAAACGTTTAAGTAAAAAATGCCCTAACTATAGCTTAGTTAGGAGTTGAGAATTTGAAATAAGAACAGGAAGTAATCCGAAATAAATACTATTATAAACAATTGTGATGAAATCAAAGAGCTGGATAGGATGCTTCCTATCAAGGAACACACAAGTGCTAATTGAATGCTTAACTTAAACTGTATACTCTTTATACTGCAACTTTACATTATATGCTTCATACGCAAATACATTTAATATCTTCCCATTAACACAAGCATGTCTACCACACATGTATGTTGCTTTATTTTATATTTTATTTAAGTTTGTATTTTAGCCATATATTTTAACACTATGTTATGTTTTCCAAACGTTAAATACATATTTAATGTGCATTGTGGGAGGGTGTTTGAGATCCAAGATTTTTACTGTAAACAAATGCTTATCTACAATGTTTTTGCATATGATTCAATTTAACTGGAATGGCCATGCAGATACAACAAACCTGTGAGGAAATCTTATAGGCCTTTAAAAATAATGACGTGGAATCAGCACATGAAACTTAATGCATGGCAACTGGTATTTATGCATTAGTATGACATGGACATTGTATTCTTAATCTGTTTTCTACAATTAGTTGGTTGTATTCCTCTTGACTGAATCTGCGCACAACATGAAATACACATCAAATAATAACAGAACGTTGTTATCCTTTGTTTGGTCATGAGTAATAACATGGCTGACCTTAGTTAAACCATTTGGACTATATCACAGCGTCGCACTAGTTGGTTAACTTTGTCAAAACCAAAGCTTTATGAGAAAATAAGTGATGAAAACATATTTTCTAAGCAGAAAAACAAAGTTCAAAAAATATAAATTATCTCCTGGAAAACGTGATATTCTGCTTTTCTTCCATTATCAATATCTAACCTTTGCATTGCAGACTGAAGCCTGAAACCTGGCAAACAAAATGTCATCATTTCTTATTCCAGAGCAGCAGTGGTTTCACGTCAAACCTATTTTAACACTTCCTGGCCTGCTTGGGCCAGTAGTATACAGTATGTTGACAGGAGCATTTCAGTTCTGGATAATAAGTGCAAGGTCTCCTTCTCATAGCCTCAGTAGCCATGGCAACGTAAAATGTATGTCATGACAGCAATACTGAGAAACGTTATTTTCATCTAAATACTGATTTCATTCTTAATGGGCGTTTCAAATTTACACCGACAAAAAGCTGTGAGTACAAAGCATGCATATTGCAACACATGTTCTTCCTGCCTAAAATGTAGTATTACTTGAATGAGTTTTAATATGCTGTGGCAACACTGACACATTTGCTGTATACAGTAGTGATAGTGAGTAGTAGGAAAGATAGAATCAATGACAACTATACAATTTATACATCCAAGAATACATATTGTTGAGAATGTATCAAGTTTTCTTTTTATATTTGCAGTTCTTCAGAGAAAGGATGTGTGTCAAGCCTTTTCTTTTAAAATAAAAACACATTATTAATGATAGGAATACCAGTTTTACACAAATCAGTGTCATGGATTGTTTCTCCTTAAACACTAGACTTAAAGTTGTAGGTACAGAATATAATATGTATTTCATTGATCAGACTAATTTAATTTCTTAGGAATCTATTGAATGAGTTCAATGCAGTTTGATGGCATTTGCTGACCTTCTTGTGCTCCAATTTAAAAACAGAGAGGAAGGGTATTATTTTGCCACAAAGTGATTTTTAACTCAAACCAGCTACAACATCTTTTTCATCGAATGTAATGCCTTAAAGACTAGGCTTAAAGCTTTAGCTACAGAATATAACAAATGTTTCAATCATAACTATTTAATTTCAGAATGAGTTAAATCAGTGGTTCTCAAAGTGAGGGGGCGGCGCCCCCCCCATCCCCCCAAGGGGCGAACAGAGGCCCCATGACAGTCGGGGGCGGCGCAAGCAGCACCGAGGAGGAAAAACTGTTATTAACAAAAAAAACAAAAATAATATTTTGAAAAATTATTGATTCGAAAAATATGATACAGCCTACAGTGACTAAGTAGAGAGCGAAGTCCCTCCCCTTCCGCGGAGCCTCCGATGGCGACCCCGGAAGCGGAAAAATTATACATTTCAAGTCAATGGAGAGAAAAGTGTAAAAAAAAAAAAAAAAAACAAACAAAAAAAAAAAAAAAAACAAAAAAAAACAACGCTGCTAATCTTTTGCATTCCCGTGTTGGAATTGCTGCCACGAATGCACACATATTTCATGTTTTGTCAATCTTAAAACACTCATTCCATGTAAAAAAAAGTCACAGTTGTCGCTAAAACTGTTGAAATATAAGACTATGAAAAATACGCCACTAGAAAGACTACAAATCCCAAAGCATTCTGGTCGCGTAAGGATAAAAAAAAAAAAAACAAAAATTAAGAAGTGTGAATCGTCACTAGGCCCAGATAATAGCACTCACAAGACTGGTTAGCGACTCAGCAAAGCAAAGAGGAAGGCAAGAAGACTAGATTGAATTCAACCCTCCAATATAAAAATTATAAGAGATGCTCCAATAAATCACTAAATTTACAAGTCCCCGTGCTCGCTTAATATGTACCACGGTTGTAATCACCAAAAGGGATCATACCACTGCTCGTTCTATCGCTTCCTGCATTTATGAAGACCAGGAGTCGTTGGGACCAAACATATCAGGTAATATACATGTTTTGCCATGGAACATAGTCGAAGTTAGCTACCCTAGGCTCAGCTAGCGAGCATGTTAGTTAGCATTACATTACATTACTTAGCCTTGTCATTTGTTATTAGCCTGTAACATGAAAAAGTAAACCAAAAATGTTAAACAGCTAAGAGCTAGTCATGATGGTAAGGTATTTTGGTGAACATTTGAAGATAGCCTATCGCCCCCTCCACCAGCGTGCTGAAGGGGGCGCGTGGAGGAGCTAGGCTACCACGCCACATTAGCATATCTTCTCCTACTCTCTCAACTGCCTATCTGCCACAACATGGTTAACATTGAACATTAAAAGCATCAGACTAGTTCAGGGGAGAGAATGCGCAAGAGTAACCGAAGAAAGCAGGCCAGCTGAATTGCATAGACATTCTTCTGGACGTTTCATTGCTGGGATGATAGATGAGAGTGAGCTCAATTCTGCTTTTTTTGGAAAAGACAGTACGTGAAGTAGAGAATTAATCGAAGAGAAAATTAATTAAAAGAAGATAAATGTCTATTCAAGTAGCTTGTTACTTTAAAGAGTGTTGCTAGCTACTGGACCTTTTTCTCTTTTATGTTTCTTTACCTCACCTGCGTAAACTGCTGAAAAAAAGACCTGAAGGAAACATGACACACCTGAACTGATCTCTGGCTCTGAAGACAAAACGGCGGTGTGCTGATTGTCCACTGTACGTAATCAGATATTTGGTTAAGCATGCGTATATGATATCATATAAATTATACATCAAGGCCACAATGTCAACCC